GTCATTTTGAAAGAGCTCCTCAGCCTGGAGCTTCGGGACGACAGCAGGTGCTGGCGGGGTTAGCGGTGCTGAGAGTCGTGGGCGTGGGGAAGGGCCGAGGCAGCAGGAGAGGAAATGGGTGACCGAGACGAAAGTGGCCCAGAAACTACCGGGAGCCACAGCTGGGAGCGAGAACGGGCAGGCAGCACCGTCCTGCAGGACTTTGTGTGATGGTAGAAACGTCTTGTGTCTGTGCTTTGAGCTATGCAGCCATGAACACATGTGACTGCCGAGGACTCAAAGTGTGACCGGTGTGGCTGAGGACCTGGCATTTTCATTTAAACGTGAATGTGTCTAGAGGCGGCCGCACCAAACTACTCCTATGATCCGTAACTCCTGAGACTGATTCTGTTGCGATGTCAGCATGAAATATGCAACGTTGGTAACAGCATCCTGGGACAGCATAGCGCCACCTGTCAGTCACCTTCCTTCCCTGCTTTCTTAAGTCTATACATTTAAAGACAAATCACTGAAGAAGACGTTTGTAGGAAAAGTGAAAAGCTGGACAGCTGAAAGGAGCGTTTTCCTGCTCTAAAGACACCTGCTGACCCAGCTTGCAGCTCAGGTGGTGAAAGTGTCCGCAGCAAGCTCCGTTTTGCCCGGTGGTGGAAGGCTGCCGTGTCTGCGCGTTGGTGGGACTGTTTCGTTATGACAGTCCCCTCTCTGGATGTGTGTGGGGAGAGATGTGATTTTTTAGAAAGCCAGCCAGCAAGCAGTGCACGTCTAAGTGAATGGTGTTCCCTTCAGCGTGGCTTTGGAGCGCTTATAGAAAGCCCCGCACCGCGTGTGAATACCTGCGTGTGAGCACCCGCATGTGAATACCCGCGTGTGAGTACCTACGTGTGAGCACCCGCGTGTGAGCACCCGCGTGGGTTTCCCCTGCGGCTGCTGTTTCTCAGCTTCCTGACGGGATCCTTTAGGACAGTCNTCTTATGTTCAAAGAATTTAAGGAAGTTGCACTAAAGTTTTTATTTGTCTTATTTGGCTTTTCATCTTTTCGATGTAGTAAGTGAGGGGAATCTGTTAACTCCCGACCTCTCGCTGGCTGGATCAACTCTAAGGGCAAGGGTCAGGGTTAGTGAATTGGCTAGAGAGGATTTTGCTTCTGGAGTCAGAAGCTGGGCGGGACGTCTGTCCACGTGTTTCCTGGTGCAGGGCAGACGCTGGCCTCAGGTCCCGTGCAGGGTGGACGTGGTTGTGCTCCGGCTGGAGCTGGCTGGGGTACTAGACGTCACTGTAGACATCTCCACGTGTCCTCGAGCAGGTAGATGAGAACGACCTTCCTTCTGGGTCTCCTGAATGGGGTTCGTCTGTCCAGGCCTCCTCACATAGGGACTCAAAGATGACGATCAAGTATTTATTAAGTGCCCGGAGAAGTGCACCAGGTCCTGAGTGTATCAGTCTGCACCTTGGCCCCGTCTCCAAGGAGCATAGAATCTGTGACTGTGCTGTGTGAGCAGGTACAGAGAGCCACCACGTGCCACCTGCCCTTCCTCCAACTGTCATTTTGAAAGAGCTCCTCAGCCTGGAGCTTCGGGACGACAGCAGGTGCTGGCGGGATTAGCGGTGCTGAGAGCGACGGGTGTGGGGAAGGGCCGAGGCAGCAGGAGAGGAAATGGGTGACCGAGATGAAAGTGGCCCAGAAACTACCGGGAGCCACAGCTGGGAGCGAGAACGGGCAGGCAGCACCGTCCTGCAGGACTTTGTGTGATGGTAGAAACGTCTTATGTCTGTGCTTTGAGCTATGCAGCCATGAACACATGTGACTGCCGAGGACTCAAAGTGTGACCCGTGTGGCTGAGGACCTGGCATTTTCATTTAAACGTGAATGTGTCTAGAGGCGGCCGCACCAGACGTGAGTTACAGAGGTTATTAGCCATGGAAAAAGGCACTGCTGAAAGACAGTGGCCTTGCGAGTTGCACGCAGGATTGCTTACAGACAAGGCGGCCGAGGCTCAGAGCGGTTAAGCAACTTGCCCCACGTCACACAGCCAGGGAGAGGACAGACCCCACGCCTTCCAGCCCAGCACTTAGCCCTCAATGTCTCCGGTGCCTCTCGTGGTGAGTGAGCATCATTTAAACTTCCCGGTTCTCACGAGCAGCCGGCCCACGCAGATGTCCCAGGTGACAGCCATACGCCCCTCCATCCCCTCATCCTGCATCCTCGCAATGAGTGCAGACCATGCACTCCGGTGCTGTTTCCCCATGGCTGAGCTACTGTCTTGCTCCCCAGCTTGAGCCAGTTTCAAGCAGAGGATCACTGGTCCCTAACAGGTGACTTCCATGTCCCCACATTTGCTCTGCACCAGCAGTGGAGAGACCTGGCTGTCCTCTGTTCTGAAAGGGCAGTGGGGCCAGTGGTCAGGACGGGGTAGCTGAATGAGGGCTTCTCTGGCTCCTCGTTTCAGAGTCAGGACGCCCGATCACAGTGACGGCCTCAGGGAAGTGTCAGCTGGTGGCCTCGATGGCCTTTGAGTCTATCAGTTACTGTAACTGTCCCCGGTGCTTTTTAAGTTTCTTGGGGCATTTCAGAGGTGGGGCCAGGTAAATGTCACGTGTAGTATGTGTCCCCTGACAGACTACTCCTATGATCCGTAACTCCTGAGACTGATTCTGTTGCGATGTCAGTATGAAATATGCAACGTTGGTAACAGCATCCTGGGACAGCATAGCGCCACCTGTCAGTCACCTTCCTTCCCTGCTTTCTTAAGTGTATACATTTAAAAACAAATCACGGAACAAGAAGACGTTTGTAGGAAAAGTGAAAAGCTGGACAGCTGAAAGGAGCGTTTTCCTGCTCTAAAGACACCTGCTGACCCAGCTTGCAGCTCAGGTGGCGAAAGTGTCCGTAGCAAGCTCCGTTTTGCCCGGTGGTGGAAGGCTGCTGTGTCTGCGCGTTGGTGGGACTGTTTCGTTATGACAGTCCCCTCTCCAGATGTGTGTAGGGAGAGATGTGATTTTTTAGAAAGCCGGCCAGCAAGGAGCTGCACGTCTAAGTGAATGGTGTTCCCTTCACCGTGGCTTTGGAGCGCTTATAGAAAGCCCCGCACCGCGTGTGAATACCCGCGTGTGAGCACCCACGTGTGAGCACCCGCGTGTGAGCACCTGCGTGGGTTTCCCCTGCGGCTGCTGTTTCTCAGCTTCCTGACGGGATCCTTTAGGACAGTC